ACATAAAAATATATGTATTGGCTCTTAAACGAGAAACAAGTAAAAAAAAAAAAACATAAATCACGGCTGAATCAACACAAGAAAATTGTGTACCCAGATTTAAGACATAAACCATATAAATATGCGGTCCTAAGTATATTGTTTGTGCCTCGCCGTGTCAATAAATTACATGAAAAAACTCTCGGTCATTTAAAGTTTAGCTTTCGACCACAGTAATCATGCGTATATCCAAAGCCAGAATTACAAGGCATGTGAAGTTGAGCAATAGGCCAATCATACAATAAGAACAAACTAAGCAATCAAGAACATGTGCCAGTGGACTTCAACAGCTTACGTGGCAAGGAAAAACGACGGCCTCTCAAGTTTGGTATTCAATATATAAACGTGTCAACTGGATTCATAGTGTTGACCCAATTCATGAATCATATGATGTAATGGGACCAAAGCATAAAGACTTCCATTAGCAAACAAGACTCCCAAAATAAATGGCAAAGCTGAAACATGAAATTCGAAACTATCATGAAATAATCATGGAAGCCACGAAACAAAAAAAAAACTTTCAGCCGTGCAAACGAAAAACTCAATTAATCTATGAATTACTAAATCTAAATTATTTCCTAATAATCAACCATATGGGCTCTGATACCACTTGTTAGGGTGGTTATCTAAATTTAACCTTTGTTGAAAACTATCACCTATTAAAATCCAAAATCTATATGGCGATTATTAAGAAATAAATTAACAATAAAATAGCGGAAGCGTATCTGAATCCATATTGATAAACTTGATACTTGAATTCCTAGAGATTTGGGGTGGCCTTCCAAGTCAACAGGTATTCACCAATCCTTTGAGAGAGGCCTTTAGTTTCTCTCTGGTATCTTTCCTGACGATGAGATATCAGGGAAGAACTATTTTGTGATATTAGGAAATACGACAACTAAAACGATACCTGTGACTTGGGGACCATAACCCTATTTATAGGTAACATTCCTGTTACCTTTTGGAACCCTATTTCAGCCCATCATAGAAATAGGAGCCCATAAGTCTCTACACATTAAAGACCCACACCCTATTAGATACATTAAGTCCAAACTATATTTGATCACTTTAATTGGGTTTAACCTTAATTGACAGTTTGCAACACATAATTATTCACATATAAGTCCAATGTTGGATTAAGGATCCAACAGGTTTTGTTCAAACTTGGTTTAGGCAAGCAAAAATAGGGAGTTTAAATTTTGTTTTGATTGGAGTTATTTTTCACCGATCATGCGAACCCATTCTCCTCTCCTGTTGGTCATTTACGTTTTGCTGTGGTTTGAGCATTATGTGTTTGCGTCAGTGAAGTTGGTTTAACATGTTTTGGTTTTGAAGGGAGGGATTTTGAATCTTTGATTTTGTGTTATTACATGGTATTAGAGGTGGCAATTTGTCTCAAGTCCCAATGGGCTACCCATGCCCAAAAGGACTTTGGGCAGGATGGGTATTGTAATTTGATATTGGGTTTAAAATGGGATGCATCCCAATTGTTTGCGTCAGTGAAGTTGGTTTAACATGTTTTGGTTTTGAAGGGAGGGATTTTGAATCTTTGATTTTGTGTCATTACATGGTATAAGAGGTGGCAATTTGTCTCAAGTCCCAATGGGCTACCCATGCCCAAAAGGACTTTGGGTAGGATGGGTATTGTAATTTGATATTGGATTTAAAATGGGATGCATTCCAATTGTACCCATTATTTGATGGGAAATGTTAGGAAATACTTGAGTACCTATTGTGCCCAAATATCTTCCCAAAAAATTTCATTTATCCAAAAATTCATCTTTGATTTTTTTTTTGTTGCAAAAATCTGATTTTTTTCACTTCCATTTTCTTTCTTTTCCTTTCTTCACTTTCCTACAAAAGAAAACCAATTAAGTAAAAATGATTTCATTTGAACAACTTTAAAAAAATAAGGATAACAATCAAAATAAAATGAATTGGTAAAATTTTGGTGTCTACAAGAATCAATGCTTTACTAACAACTGTTGGCACCCTTTATGTTGATTTTATGCTAATTGATGAACTATCTACATAGATTTCTATATGCAACCCTGCTATCAATTTTTAATCAACTTCTTCGTTTCTGTGCTAGCTTTATTCAGCATTTAATTGAATTTCTTTTGTATCAATTTTGGAAATTTTAAGAATGTCAGTAAGAATGAATTTGGTATTAAAAAATCTTGTTTCTAGCCCTTGTGTCAGACAACATTATGGGTAAGGTTGGAATATGGCTGTATATCTATCTTTTTCTTTATTTGTTAATTCAATTTTTTGTTTAATCCAGGGAGAAGATATGCTCATTCTTACCAAAATGTTATGTCTTTTAAAAGTAACTGTTGATCGTTCTAGAGTGTAAATGAATTCTGGAAAATATAAATTCACAATAAGATCAAAAGAAATTTAATAAATAAAAATATTAAAGTTACATAAAAAATAAAAAAGAATTAAAGGAAAAAAATATAGAAAATAGATTTGGGTATTGGGTGGGATCAATCTAAATCCATCCCAAAGTGATCCCGCCCAAGTTAGTCCCAAAACACATATGGGTAAGGTTAGACCCAAACCCATATGATTCGGTTCCGTTTCGAACCTAAGCAAATCCCGCCCATCCCGCCCATTTTGCCACCTCTACATGGTATCTTGTTGGGTTGAGTCTTGTGGCATTAGTTGACATATCTACATGTTTCATTGGAGTTTATGAATGTTTCATGTGCATGCTGAATTTGCAGAAAGGAAGTTGCCGCAAGGAAGTTGCCGCAAGGTTGACTAGTCATTTTGGTTGCTCAAGTTCTTAGTTTGTTTGAAACACTTGGTTTCATTGCTGTTTTATCCTTTGTTTTGTTGATTTTGGGTATGAGATTTCAGAAATAAAAAGCATAAGTGGTTCACCAGTTGAGGTTGGGTTTTTGGTTTGAGATGGTTGTAAAAATCTGCCGCGCGAGGTTGCTCAGGTTTAAAAGCATAAGAAAAGTTGCTGCAAATACTCATGTTGCTTTGCTGCATTTTATGTCCAACTTCCTTATTAGAATTTCTGGGAGATAGACCATGGCATTTGGGTGATGATTAACAACACGGGTAGGAAGCTATAGCATTGAGGCTGGGTGGATAAATCAATAAGCATTCATTCCCATTACTTCGCATGATCATATTTCGGTTTGCATGAAAAATTGCAGAAGCATTGTTACTAAAGAAAATACTGTTATTCGATGCTTACTTGATTTTTCTGTCTGAATTTCTGGTGCTTAAACATAAAATTTTATGTTGAAAAAGTAAAAAGAAAGCTTGGTTATCTGGTTGTTTAGTCCAAATGTTGGTTATCTGGTTAGCTCCGTATGAAACTCCCTATGGAAGGAAGTGCCGATCACCGATTTATTGGGATGAATTAGGAGAAAGGAAAGTTTTAGATCCTTCAACAGTACAATGGGTTGAGGAAGCTTATGAGAAGGTGAAGTTGATACGTCAAAGAATTCAAACGGCCCAAAACAGACAGAAAAGTTTTGCGGATTGTGAGAACTCGAGACGATTTTTATGTAAGCTTTGCATGTTATTAGAAATATTATATATAGCAAATAACTGGTCAAATTGAAATGTCTAAAATTTAGATTCTATGAATCGAGAATTTAGAAATATTCTAAAATGGTGTAGAAAGAAAAATTAATTTTTTTTATTTGAACTCTCGAAATTTTATTGAATCGAAAGGAGGGGTGTTACATGTCGGAATCATCACTTAAGGACCTAAATCTGCGAAAGGAGGGAAAAGCAAGCCTGTCCAAATGATATGCCCCCCTGGCTAAGAATGGCAAGCCCGCGAAGGTTTCATAGACACAAATCCTTTGATCGGGATCGGCACAGCTCACATTAGACAGCACATCCATCACTGTGTTAGCTTTCCTGTAGCAGTGTACGACCTGAACCCCTCCACGAGTTAGGTGCAAAATCTTCTCCACCTCCCCATCGATGGACCATGGACAATGGGACTTTTGCCACAGAATTCGGACTAACATCAACAAATCTGATTCAACAATCAGACTATCCAAGAAGCCTTGTTGCGCACATAACTGCAGTCCAAGCAGCAACACCTTGGCCTCCGCCTGTGGACTGGTACACTGCCCCAAGTACCCAGAGAATCCTAATAGCAACCTTCCCTCAGAGCTCCGAAGAATCCCATCTCCACCACTCACCCCAGGGTTACCTTTCGAGCACCTATCTATATTCAACTTGACAAACCGAGATGGAGGAGAGTGCCAATGGATCTGCTTCACTTTGAAGACATCAGGATGATGTTCCACCCTTTCGAAGAATGTAGGCCAATCCCACACCTGGTGCAACTCCAAGAACACCAGTCCATAGACATCCTTTAGATCCCTAAAAATATCCCGATATACCGTAGCCGGGTTCACTCCAGACCCTTGGAATATTGCTTTATTCCTAGCCTTCCAGATGTGCCAGCAGATAAGACTAGATAAAATCTGGAACACGAGTTTAAGCCTCTCCGAGTTGACCCGCCTAAGCCACCAACTCCCCAAGATCCCTCTCACGTGAACTGCATTGAGGTGAACCCCACAAACTGAGCCAAAAAATTTCCAAACTTCAGCTGCCAGACCCCCCTTTGCAAACAAATGCCCCAGTGATTCAGTCTGTGGTATTAAGCAACAGGAACACTTTGAGGGCAATTGGAAGCCGTACGATGCAAGGACGTCATCCAAGGAGAGGCGATTCCGTAGTAGTCGAAGTACAAAGAAGGACACCTTCAGGGGAACGCTCGGATGCCATGCTTGACGATATAGAAAAGAGGATGGCTTATACTCGCAGAGCTCACTGTATGCCGATGCCAGCAAAAACTGACCCGAAGTTGATGCAGTCCATACCATTCGATCTGAAGAATCCCCGTCTGGGCCAGCCACCACCAGGACTTGCTGCATCATGTCGGCTAGCAGAAACTCCGCAAGCCTCCCCGGGATTCACGCCCCATTCTCCATAACATACTGAAACGAGACACCCTTCTGGACCTGCACGCGTAGATGGAAGGCCTTGTGCCCCGTCCAATTATCATACCAAAAGTTGCATCGACCCACGGAGAGTCTCCACCCAATCAATAGCTCCGCCAAACCCCTAATGTCCAGCATCCGTCTCCAAGTTGCTGATCCCAATGGAGATATGGAGACTTGACAAGGATAAAATCCCTGACAATATTTCGCATGCATGAATCTTGCCCACAAGAAAAGTCCACACCTGAAATTCCACCAGAGCTTGCAAGAGAATGCCCTATAAGTATCACTAATCGACCGAAACCCCACCCCACCCTCATCAGTGGGATAACACAAGTCCTTCCACTGGAGCCGATGGAATTTATTGGATTCCCGGCCTGACGCCCAAAGGAAGTTTGCACAAACTCTCTCAACCAACTTGAAAACTCCATTTGGCATCACGCCAACCCCAAGAGGTGAATCGGGATGCTGGATAAAACATGTTTAATCAACACAATTTTTCCCCTAAATGACAAAAGCCGTGACTTCCAAGACAGTACCTTATCAAGCACCTTCTGACACAGGTCAGAGTAGTAACTCACCTTTGCGGGACTAACAAACAGCGGAGCTTCCAGATAACGAACCGGGAACTCTTTCTTCTGGAATCTGGTGATCCGCTCAATGACCTCTTGCCGAGCAGTGGAGAGTAGAGAGTGAACTAAGTATCCACTTTTCTGCACGTTAACCAACTGTCCCAAATCATGATGGTACCACTCCAGTATCTGCATGACTCTCTTCAGTGCTGAACCCCCTATTAGGAAAAATGATGACATCGTCTGTAAATGCCAAATGAGTGATAGGGGAGCAATGCCTAAGTACCTTAAACGCCGCGAAACTAGATTGATCGACCAGAGAATTCAAACCTCGGGAAAGGACTTCCGAACCAATAATGAATAATGTCGGCGATAACGGATCTCCCTGACGTAGACCCCTAGAGGATTTAAAGAAACCATAGGGCACGTCATTGATAATCACGAAAAACCAAAGGTTGGAAATCAACCTCCACACCATGTCGATGAACCTCTCGTTGAAGCCAAACCGTCGCAACACGGCAATGAGAAATCCCCAAGAGACCCTATCGTATACCTTAGCCATATCTAACTTAAGCGCTAGGTTGCCACCCTGTACTTCTTTCCCATTTCGGACATCAGCTCCTGAGCAAGCAAATAGTTATCTGAAATAGACCGACCTTGAACAAAACCACTTTGCTGCAGAGAGATGATACGAGGCAAGATACCCGAGAGCCTACCCACCAAAATTCAAGAAATCACTTTATTAAGAAAGTTACAGACTCTAATAGACCGAAACTACGTAAAGTCATTAGGGTTCATAGTCTTGGGCAGAAGAACAATAGACGTTGCCGTGACGAAGTGAGGCAACTCCACACCACAAAAGAAACTCACGACTGCCCTATAGACATCCTGAGCCACTACCTCCCAGGCAACCACAAAGAATTGGCCAGTGAAACCATCTGGCCCAGCCGCACTATCACCATCCATCTCAAAGATCACCTTTCGCACCTCTTTGAAAGAGGGGACCTCCTCCAATCCAGTATTATCAATATCAGAACTCAAATTAGGAATAACATGGAGCAGTTGATAATCAGCTACAGAATCGGCCGCGAATAAGTTACTAAAGTACCCGATAGCTTCCTTTCCTATCTCTGCCTCTTCCGTCACCCACTTCCCCTGAGAATTCCGAATCCTGTGAATAAAGGCTTGGAACCGCCGCTGTTTGACTATCGAATGAAAATATCTCAAATTATGATCACCGTACTGGAGCCACTTGATCCTAGCCTTTTGTTTCCAAAAAAGTTCCTCAATTGCTAACTGCTTATTCAAGTGGCCTTGAGCCTATTGTAGCTCAGTATAGGCCTCAACAGAAGGGTCAGATTGGACCCTGAGTTCAGCCGCTGCCATCGCAACTTCCCCCTTCTTAACATTCTCAAATACATCCCCAAACGTCTCCTTATTCAACAGATGGAGTGCACGAGAGACACATCTTAATTTTGTCCACATCACATAAAGAGCCGACTCGATCACCTCTCTTTGCCATGCCAACCTGACCACATCAAGAAAACCCCTCCTGGAAGGCCAAATGTTCAGGAAACGGAATGAGCGACTCTTAATTTTGGCCCTAAGGGTGAAGGATATCAGGAGAGAGGCATGATCTAACGGTGCTCGAACTAAATGTGAGATCGAGACTGACAAGGAAAAGTCCAAGCAGGCCAGATTAATCAACATTCTATCCAGACGTTTCCAAATTCGTGCTCGCTCGAACCTATTGTTGCACTAGGTGAACGTAGGGCCAGTGAAACCTATATCAAACACCTCTCCGTTGTACCTAAACTGAGACATCTCTAACCCCTCCACTGGCCGAAAGTGTCGTCCCCCTCTTTTTTCATTCACCGATAAAATAAGATTAAAATCTCCCACCACATACTAAGGCCCTTGCCTTGGCTTATCCTGTAACAAACCCTCCCAGAGCCTCTCACATTCAGCCAACTGGCATTTTGCATGAGCAAAGGAAACAAGAACCTCAGTAGGAAACTGAGGATGCCCCAAGAGCAGGGAAATGTGCTGATCCGATTCTCCAACAACCCGACCAGCAAAGGGGGTCCAAAAGAAAACCTAGACCTCCCCTGACGAGTTACACACTATAGAATCGAAGTTTAACCGAATATGAATCGACTCAACTTTAGCAAAAGGTAACTTGGGCTCGCAAATCCCTACTACTGCTAACTTATGCATACAAACTAATTTCTTAAGTCTTGTAAGGTTTGGAGGCTTGGAGCTCCCCTATATATTCCAAAAACATGCATTAATCATGAGGTAAAATCTGGAACTAAGTTTGAGGTTTTTTGGATACCGACCTGAGTTCTCTGTCCGAAGGGAATTTGGCTCAGACACCCCGCCCTCTAGCTCGTTGGCCGCCTTGTTCTAGGAAAGTAACCTGATCAAGATGAAGGGTCTCCATAACACCATGCACTCCTTCCCCTCCACTGCACCTCCCACTGTATCCTCGCGGCGATAACGAGCCAGCACAAGTAACATTATTCGAAAATGAGCCAGCAGGTACCTCGTTAGCTTCCTCCTCCCCAATCGCCGCCGCACCACCTTCCCCTGGAGACGCGTCACCCTCATCACTAGCCATGGGGACATCTTCATCCATAACCCGTGCAGCCAGCTCGGTGATGATGACGTCTGCTGCAGTATGAACTGCGTTCTCCACCAACGTGGTCGCTGCCACCCTAATTTCAGCACCATGCTGCACCCCTTCTCCCTCCTCCTGGCGCTGAGCGACAAGCCCAGCGCCCCTGTCGTCCTCCAAGCTGTCCACCATGACTACCCAGGATGCTCTACTCCTCTCCTCAATTGTCCAGAGCCCATACCAGCATCACCAGAAACCTGCCCAGCCTCCAACGTGTTAGCACCACCTGCATCAGGTTGCTCCACTCCACAGTAAATTGGTTCATCCTTTGCAACCACCGTGAGAACAACGGCTTCTCCACTCTCCAAGCCCAATGGCTGATCATTACCCTCCCGCGAAGGTCTCGCTGCTAGCTGAGTGTCCATCCTTGGCACTACTTTCACCTCTCGCAGTTCAGGATGTTTAATGCGACAGAAAAAAAATTAATTAATTATAAGAATCAAATAAACATATAATATGCATATTATAATTTATGTTATTTGAATATATTATATAGTTGAATAAGTACCCGTCTAGTTAAATTTCTTTAAAACCAAAGGTGTAAAAAACTTACAGGATACATATAGGAAAATTTTTCAAGGTAAAGGCAAATTAGAACAAACGAAATTTTGAATTAATGTATGAGACAATAAAATTACGGACTCGTGGTAACCAAATGAACTAAAATGAAAATACCAAACCAACCTTGGGATTTTGGTTAAACTACCATGCAACCTAAGGAAATAAGGTGCATTTTGCCGTGACTGAAGAGCAATCAAATGAAAATATCCACCAAAACTACTAAGCCTAAGTGGTAGAATTGGGAAAGTAAATAGGAGTTTGGCTTGTGCGGTGAATGAGTGAGACCACAGAAAAATTTTTGCAGCTTTAGTGTCTACCAAGATTAAGCGGTGGAAAGGAGGAACCAGTAGGATTTGGCCTCTAGCTTTGGGCGGTGAATAACACCTGTATGACAGCTGCCCATTTAATTGCTAAGTGAAGTGATGATCAAAGGGAGAAAGGAGACAGCAGTGACATTACCTGGGTGGTGGCCAATGAAGAAACACATTTTACTTCTTTTCTTAACAACTAAATGTTGAGAGCAAGACCGAGAGAAACTCAGCCATATTTTCTTCCATTTCAGTACACCATTAAGAGGGAGAAAAGGAAACAATTCTGATCCCCTCTTGCATCCAGTTGCAATCGAGAGAGTGAGGAGGAGAGAGTTAGACAGTAGCAAGCTACATTCTTCCAGCTTGTAACCGTAGAACCGTGAGTCTGGTGCAGCTTTGGGAACTTAAGCAGGAAACCAAGCGTGCAGTTTGCATTTTTTTCAAACCATAGGAGGAACGGAAGAGGTAAGTGACCGCAATAACCTTCATCTCATCTGGTATAGCTGACTTAGGTTGCATGTTGAATTTTTAGTGAGGGAATGAGTCTTAGCTGAGAATAACGTTGCTAAGTGACTGACTAAGAAGATAAAAGAAAAGAAATTGGCAACCGAGAGGAGTAAGCTGGAAATTCCAGCCTGTTATTCATGGGAAATAATGCTAGGAGTATATGCCAAAGGCTTAGACTTAAGTTACACATGAAATTCAGATGCAAACTCATAAGAAGCGGGAAGGGTAAGCTGGAAATGTTGGAAATAGCTGCTGGAATTCTTTCAACTTCAACCGAGAGAAGGGAAAGAAACTTACCAGGCTTTCTTACGAACCTTGGCTCTAAAATCTTACCTTGAGACTTGATTTGTTGCATTGCAATTTAGCTTTAGCTTGCATGGAAGATTTGTATATAACCAAAGACACTTTTGAAGAGCTTCATGTTGTATAACTAGTCCCTGCAAGAATTTTTTCCAATTTGGCCGAGAAGAAGGCTTGGTTCAGCTATGGTTTCGGTTCCTTGGCTATAAGCTTTACGTTATTGTTTAAGATATGCTATGGCCGATAATTAAGATGAGATTAAGAAAGACAGTCCTGCATGCGGAATGGCCGGACTGCTAGACTTGCATGTGACTACGGTTTCTTTGAAATTTTGCTCCTCTCTTGCTAAATTAAATATGAACTAAACAAATGAAATGAATGAGGTCTGGTTTTGTTTGATTAGCGATATCGGATGTTGGGAATGGGAGCAAATATATGAACATTGGACTGATACATTGCTTGAAAGCCTAGTTAACGGTTGTGATTGTAAATGGCAGACTTTGAATGTGATGTGGTCGATCAACATGCTGAAATTTTGAGATAATCACCTTAAACGAAAGGTATATTGGGTAACTACGGTTTAAACGATTAAAAGATGGAGTTTATTATAGGTATAAGAACGTTTGAGCTGGAACCTTGTTCTAAGATAGGATGAAGGAAAAATGAAACTTTATGTCATCTTGAAATTTTAGCTAATTGGTTGTAAAACTATGCTTATGAACATTTAAGAAATTTAAAACTAGAAAACTAATGAATTGTTACAAAACTTAAATCATAGGCAACTCAGAATTAATTTGTTTAAAACGGGAAGGATAAAAAGTTTATTTACTTTAATCTTAGAATATAGAGTAGAAAATGGTTTAATCGTAATGTGAATATTTATAGCTTATATTCTTGAAAAAAAATGTATATCCCTTGGTTAAAATGATCAATAAGTATTGAATATGTTATATCTTATTCTAAACTAAAACATGACTTTAATACGTTTAACGTATAAGGTAACAAATGATAAAATCAATAAGTATTAAAATGAAATGATGAATAAATATTGAGTATGTTATATTTGTATTTTAAGGTCAAACTTGATTTTAATAGTTTAACCAATAAGGTAGAATAAATATTGAATATATTATATATTATATTTTAAAGTCAAACCTAATTCAAATAATTTAAATAATGGGATAATAACTAATAAGTGAACATCTA